GCTGGGCTTCGGCGGCCGCGACTGCCGGGAGCGGGCGGACCCCTGCGCCGGGCGCCCCTGCGCTCACGGCGGCCGCTGCTACGCCCACTTCTCGGGCCTCGTCTGCGCCTGCGCGCCCGGCTATATGGGCGTGCGCTGCGAGTTCCCGGTTCACCCCGACGGCGCGGGCGTGCTGCCCGCGCGCTGGCCTGGGCTCAGGCGGGCGGATCCTCAGCGCTTGCTTCTGCTCCCTGCCTTGGGGCTGCTGGTGGCCGCGGGCTTGGCCGGCGCCGCGCTCTTGCTGGTCCACCTGCGCCGCCGCCGAGGCCCTAGCCCGGATACTGGCTCCCGCTTGCTGGCAGGGACCCCGGAGCCTTCGCTCCACGCGCTCCCTGATGCACTCAACAACTTGAGGACGCAGGAGGGTTGTGGCGATGGCCCGAGGTGAGAGTGCCTGGTCGCTCGTGGCTGCTTGCACCCAGCTATATAATGAATTTGTCGATGCATCTTCTTGATTGGCCCAAATTGTGCCCCATGCTGTACCCCTCTTCGGGTTGCGTGGTTCCAGAATTTTCTTACTGCCTGTGGGTTCTCCTTTCTTGATGGGTGGGGGAGAAAGCCATATCTGAGAATACAAGGTCTTGATCCTTCCTTCTTTCTTCCACAGCTCCACCGTAGATTGGAGTCGCCCGGAAGATGGAGACTCTCGATCTATTTACATCATATCTGCTTCTTCAATCTATGCTCAGGAGGTAGCTACACTCCCAGGGCGTCTGTGCACACGAGACACACTGGGCCGAGGCAGCCCTCACTTTTCTGTAGCTGTCCATCTGTTGGTGAAGCAAGGAGGGGTCTCAGCAGGGTCTCTGTGTCCACTTTTGCATTCCTCTTGCTGTCCTTTGGGCTCAAGAGGTCACAGTGGGAACTTCTGAGGAGACACAAGGGAACCAAACAGCCTTTCCTAGTGTTTCCTGCTCATTTTCTTGTTTTCATTTACTCGTTTCATTTTCTAGGCCTGACCTGTCCCTTCTCTGTCAGTGCCTGGAGACAGACCTGGATGTCTCTGTGGTTCAGTGGTGCCCGATCTCTGCTCCAGACACTCCGCTGTGCTCGCTGAAGGAGTGGCAGGGAGAACTTCATTGGTGGAAGTTGTACATAATGGTTTATATCCTGGTTTTTCTCTTCCTGTCTCACCAGAAATATCTTTGTAAAGGCTCTTATTTTGACCAGATACTTCAGGCTAAGTGCTTTGTATTTTGGTATTAGGACTGAGGGGAAGAGATTTGTTCTGAGAAGGATAATAGGTGGGGTTCTTTATATTGCAGGTGTCAGAAACCATTCAGATTGGTTTAAGTAGAGTTTAGAGCCAAGTGTGGTGGCACACACCTGTAATCCTAGCACTCTGGGGTCTGAGGCTGAGGTAGGAGAATTCCCCAAGCACTTGTGGCCATCCTGGAGACCTGATGAATTAGATGCCAGCCAGGGGAGTACATACACTACCAACCCTGTCTGGGGAAAAAGAAGAGTTTTGTAAAAAGACAGAATTACAACAAATTTAGTTTTGCAGGTCTTAAGTAGCTTTGTTAAATAGGTGGAACCAGGAAGCAGTCAGTATTAAAAGTGGTTCAGAAAGTTCCCTTCCGCCACACAGGCCTGTTGGATTTACAGTCAGAGAAAAGGCAGTGATATACAGAAACGGGATGTGGCAGAGAGCCAGCCAGTTGGTTAAAGCTGGTGTCTGTTTTATTCCAACAGTTGGCCCCATGTGATTGGGTGAGACTCAGCCACTTGTTATAAGTTTCTACCCAACCAGTTGGCTCGTAGTTCACTATGTGGGGAGGACCCTTTAGGCCAATTCAAATTAACAGTGTATAAAAATAAAAATGAAAAAGCATAGCCAGGTGTGGTGGTACATGCCTGTAATCTCAACACTCTGGGAGACAGACTGGAAGATGGCTAATTTGAGGCTAGGCTGGACAACAATAAGAACTTGTCTCAACAGAAGAATAAGTTGGATGAATGAATCAATAAATAAAAATGGGCTAATGTAGGTCAGTGCGAAGGCCCTGGGATCAATCCCAGGTCCTCCTCTCCCGCTATAATTAAAAAATGAAAAAATCATCATCTCAGTGTCTCTGCAGATGGCTGGTTTTGCCTCCCAGTTGCCCTCACAGTCAGGCTGTCATTGGCCGAGGGTTACGTCATCTGCCTGCTGTGTGAAGGAAGTAAGGTTGCTCTGCCAAAATCACGTGGAATATGTGGAGGAGGGAGGTTCCTTCAAATCAGGGCTGACCAGAAATGAGTACCATGCTAGACTGGAAAGCTAGACCTGTCTTGCAAGAAATGGTGAGAAAGTTCTTCAGGCTCTAGGCGAGTGGCCTCAGATAGTAATTTGAATATATATGAAAACAAAAATACCAAGCTGCCGTAAAGGTCATTGTGTAACTATGGTGCAAGCCTGTGATCCCAGCACTTGGGTGGCTGAGGCAGGAGGATCATTTCAAGTTCAAGGCCAACCTGGGCTACATAGTGCATTCAAGGCCAGTTTCAAATGCATAGTGAAACCCTGTCTTAAAAAAAAAAAAGTGTTAACAGGTGTAGGTGTGGTGTCTCATGTCTGTAACAAAACACCCAACAATGGCTACCTAGGAAAGAGGTGTATTTTGGCTCACAGTTCTGGAAATTGAAGTCCAAGATGGGGTAACCTCTCTAGGCCTGTGAGTAAGGACAGCACATCATGGCAGGAGAACAGACAAGGAAGCTGAAGGACTGGAGACTGGGGTTCCACAGTTCCTTTTGAGGGCACCCTTGCTGACCTTAGGACCTTTCAATCAGCTGACCCTTAAAGGGTCACAGTACCTCTCTCTAATGCTACCCTGGGGACCACACCTGGACCTGTGGACACTTGGGGCCACATATCTAAATCATAGCAGTTTACATCGAGGATTAAGTTTCCGATATGTTTTGGGGGATCCATTAAAACCATAGCAATTAAACTGGGTGTGGTGGCATATGCCTGTAATCCCAGCACTCAGGAGGCTGAAACGGGAGGATTGCTGTGAGTTCGAGGCCAGCCTGGGCTATATAGTGAGTTCAAGGACAGCCTGAACTGCATAGTGAAACCCTGTCTCAGGGAAAAAAAAAAGAAAATTTGTAAATAAATGGGTTGAGAATGTAGCTCAGTGTGATGGGTTTAGTGTCATTCCCATGGACAACCTAGTGAGGACAGGGTCTAGTCACTTTTCTGTCTCCAGAATAACGCAGGACAAGACGGTGCACACAGTAGGCATTGATAAACAAGCTGAGCACACGATGTTCTATTGCAGCTGGGTGAAGCCCCAGGGCGATCTGTGGAACCTCCGCCTAGGGGAACGTGGTGTCACAGTGCCCCCCTGTGGTCACGTCGAGATTTAGAACTCTGGGGTCTCAAGAGGCCGGACGCGGCGGGGCGCCCAACGCGGGTTACTGGGTCCCACCTGATCCTCATGAACCACCAGGAGAGGGCCCCAGTCCCCTCCCCCGCCGGGTCCTCCACCCCGGTCCGGGCTTCTGTCCCATCTCGGAGCCCAACTCTGGTCCGGACTTTGACTCCAGTCCGGGCCTCGACCCGCGCCCGGGACCCGGCTCCAGTGCAAACTGCGACCCTTGTTCAGGCCTCGACTCCCACCCGGACCCCTACCCCAGTGAGACCTTTGACTCCTGTTCGTGCCCCGACGCCTGTCAGGACCCCGACCCCTGTCTGGACCCCGACACCCGTCCGGACCCCGACACCCGTCCGGACCCCGACACCTGTCCGGAACCCGACGCCAGTCCGGACCCCGACCTCGGTCCGGACTCCAACTCCGGTGCGAACTTCGACCCCGGTTCGGATCACGACTCCAGCCCAGACTCCAGTCCAGTTCCCTGCACCAGCCGCAGCCACAGCCTCAGCTCCAGCCCCAGCCTCGGTCACAACCGCTGTCTCCACTGTGGAGTCCTTTCCGAACCTGGTGCCACCTTTGGGTTCACTCTCAGAACCTGCTCCTGGGCCAGCCTTGACTCCTGAGAAGGATCCTGCGCGAAGCCCACAGCAGGAGAGCCTGGTGGTCGGTACCGTGGCCAGGCCGGACCCGGAGCCCCTTCTCCCCCTCACCCTGCCGGCCGCTGTCAACCAGGGGCTCCCCCTGGGGCTCATCCTGAGGGCAGATCCACCGGCCTCCAAACTGACGGGTGACCCCTCGCCCGTGCCCATCATGCCATTTCTTCCCGTTTCTACCGCTGCACTTGCCTCCACCAGCGAGAACTTGGCGGACAATAGAATCTTGATTCGAGTGACATACTGGTGAGGGGCTGTGCCCTCTGACACCCGCTTCTCCCGATGTGGAGGTTGAGGTGGGCGTAGGGCGAAGGGAGGAGTCGGGAAGGAGTCTCCCTATTTTTGGGTGGGAAACAGCTTCACCAATTCACTTTGGGGCAGGAGAGCTCTGGGGTTCAAATCCATCCATCCGTTCATTCATTCATTCATTCATTCATTCATTCATTCACATGACGGTTCCAAGCTTCATTAATTCATCCATCTGGGCCCCGAGCTTCGTTCTTCATTCTTACTTCTTCATTCATTTGTGAATGTCCTGCCTTTAGGGATCTGAAAAAACTGTTGGTGCGAGGGCCCTGAGCAGGGCCTCTTGGGGTGCTGGAGGGCCTCTGTGGCTGGGGCACAGGGGAGAGGGGGTGGATCCCATGGGAATGGGGAGCCTCCCTCCTTGGTTCTACTGGAACCTTCTGAGCAGGGGAGGGATGTGATCTAACTGGGCCTTCCTGGGCCCTCTGGGCTCGGGGAAATACTGATGGGGGGGCCTTTCCTTTTCTCTCGCCTACCTCTGCCCTTGGCCTTCAGTGGTCTCTGAAGCTATAACCTTCGGGTAAGTAGTTTTGCTTTCTGTTCGGAGGGGAGTTCCTGTGGGGCGTGAAGACTGAGAAAAGTCCCTATGTCCCTCCTATGAACCTCTGTGATTCCGTGACCCCACCTCTTGTCCTCAGTACATTCTACTGAAAAAGAGTCTGGAGCAGCAGTTTCCAAACCTCCTGTACTTTGTAAGTGGTGGTGGTCTGGGGCCTGGGGAGGGCTTGCTTGGGTGCGCTCAGCCCTCTCCAGCCACAGTATTCCCGCCTCAGGAGGAGGAAAGAGCAGCCCAGGCTACGGGCGAGTTTGAAGTGTTCGTGGAGGGGAAACTGGTGCATTCCAAGAAGGTGACTGACCGTGAGCTGGGCTGAGCCCCACGGGGGCGGGGGTGGGGGCGGGGGGGTGGAGGCTGGGCCCCAGTGGGGGCGACATGGCTGGGTCTTTCTGTGTCCAGCAAGGCGATGGCTTTGTGGATGAGGGCAGGCTGCAGGCGATTGTGGATGCTATCAAGGAGGAGATCAAAAGAAGGTAGCAGGCGGTGGTGGGGCTGAGGTGAGTGAGGCCCTGTACGTGCGGCAGGGGCGGGAGGAAGGTGGGCAGCTGGGCTTGAGGCCAAGGGCAGGCAAGCCACGGTCTGGATCCTTCCCGGTCCCAGCCAGTTCTCACTGCTTGAATCCTGACAAGTCGCCCACACCCTCTTCTGAGCCTCAGTTTTCTCTGGTGTTAAGTGGGCTTGCTGGGGCTGGTGAGATGGCTCAGTGGTCTAAAGCACCTACTTAGAACAAGCTTAGCAAAGCACAGGGACCACCGCGGTTCAATCCCCCAGCACCACATGCCAGCCAGCCCCGCCCCCTGGTGGGCTGAGCTGGCCCCCCCAAATAAATAAAAAATAAATAAATTAAAAAAAAATAAAGTGGGATTGCTGAGACAGTTCCGTTACAGGACTCTGACTAGATAGTAAAGAGTACATGGCTCATATTAGACCTCAGGGTTTCTCAAAAGAGCTTTGCTTTTTGTTTGTTTGTTTTGTTTTGTTTTTTAGAGACAGGGTCTTGCTATGCAGTTCAGGCTATTCTTGAACTCACTAGGTAGCCCAGGCTGGCATTGAACTCAAAGTGATCCTCCTGCTTCAGCCTCATGAGTGCTGGGATTATAGGTGTGCACCATCAAGGCTGGTCTCAGCATCACCATGCCTGGACTCAAAAAAGCTTTGAAAGCGTATTTTTGGCTTTTAGTTGTGAAGCAGTAGCTTGTAAATTTCACATTATATGAATTAAAATGAAGTACAAGGGCGGGGATATAGCTCAGTGACACAAGTGTCTGCCTGGCAAGGACAAGGTCCTGAGTTTGATTCCCAGTACCAAAAGTAAAATAAAAAATAAAATAAAATGAAGCACATTCAAAATTCAGTTCTTGGGGGGCCTGCCCCTTAGCTCAGTTCTTTCAGTGGCTGCTTCAACAAAGCTGTCAGGCTTAGGTTGCTGTGGTTCCATTCCCACAACTCCAGCCAGCCAAACCTGCCCTGAGCACATTCCGAGCAGTCACTTAGTAGAAAAGAATGTATGAGGGGCTGGTGAGATGGCTCAGTGGTCTAAAGCACCTACTTAGAACAAGTTTAGCAAAGCACAGGGACCTAGGTTTAATCCCCCAGCACCACATGCCAGCCAGCCCTGCCCCCTGGTGGGCTGAGCTGGCCACACACACACACACACACACACACACACACACACAAACAAAAAAAAATAATAAAAGTTATAAAAAAAGATGATAGCTGAGGGGGCCGGGGAGATGGCTCAGTAGAATAAGCGCTTCCCTGGCAAGCACAAGGGCCTGAGTTCAATCCCCCATTCTGGAAAAAAGAAAGATGATCACTGAGGGCTGGCCAGATAGCTCAGCGGACTAAAGCACTTGCTTAGGCAGGCGCAAGGACTGGGGTTCTGTCCCTGTGTGCTGTGCTGGCCCTGTCCCCAGGGTGCACTGAGACTGGGCGTGGTGGCGTGCCTGTAATGCCAGCACCTGGGAGGCTGAAAACTGTGTAGGGAGACCCTGTAGACCTTGTACTCAATACATTAAAAAAAAAATGATAGTTGAACACTTGGAAACAGTGAGAGACTGAACCTTGTGGATATTGGGGGAAAAGTATTCCAGGCACTGGTGCGTTTGTAACAGTGAAGACCACAGTGGCTGTTGTATCCCATAGAGAGCAGGGAAACAGTGCCTCACCCTCAGTACATTCTCTGTGAACACTGTTATTTTGATGCCATCATTTTAATTGGTTCCCTTTTCTCCCAGGAGAGCCTGCCAGGAGCCACAGCAGGATGAGGAGAAGGGCTGAAATGTTGCTGACCCTGGTCCTTCTCTGATGGTGGCTGGGCTGGGTGGAGCTGGGGTGCTGACAAGGAAATACACAGCCTCCTGCCTCCCCGGGTGTGAGCTGACTGCATGTGCTGCCGCTGCACGTATGACTGAGGCCTGCCAAGGTCACCTGCCGCAGGCACCCCAGCACCTCCCACCTTCTGGTGAGGGGTGCAGGGTAGGAGAAAGGGAGGGGGAGGTTGGAGGATGTCCCCCAGAGGCTCCTGTGCTGCAGGATTGGTGTCCCCAGATGCTGGTGCTCCTTGGAGGTGGTGGCACTTTTACCAGGTAAGGCCTAGTGAAGGAAGTCAAGCCACTGGGGTGCCCTTGGTGTGGACAGTGGGACCCCAGCCCTTCCCCTCTCTTTGCTTCCCTGCCACCACAGGATGAGCTGATGTCCTCTGCCACATGCTCCCTCCATGAGGTACAGTGACACCACAGACCCAAAGCAGCAGGGCCATCTGGCCATGGCCTAAAAGCTCTGAAGCCATGAACTTAAAGCAGTCCTCCCTGTAGGCCGAGGAATCTCATCACTGTGTCTCAGGAACCTCCTCGCAGTGATGGGGAGCCCACTACCAGCTTGGGGTTCAAGGCTAGCCCCCTTGCTCCTGCGAGTCTAGCCTCAGCCCCTCCTGCTGTCAAGGCCAGCTTGTTCCTTTGGTGGAGTCTTCCTTTCTCAGGTCCTGGTTCAAGATGTGTTTGGAAAAATCCCACCTTATTGGCATTTCTAGGGGCTGTGATGGCAACAGGGATTGTGGCAATTCTTAAATCCTCTACAGGCCAAAGTCCACAGCACCCTCTGGAGGCTCACTTCTCCCCGGTAGGTCTTGGAGTCCCAGTGTGAGGAGCAGATCTGGGACCTGGAGGGGGGCATTTGTGCCTCACTGGGCATTTATGGGTCCCCTGCTTTGCTCAGGCACCGTGGGCTCCCCAAGCACCTGCTCCTTTGTGAGCTTATAAAAGAGCACGTTCTCCCAGCTTCTCCCTCCAGCACCAACCACGTCATTCGGTCAGGTGTCTCCTTGGCACTTGTGTTACTCAGCTCTCTGTCACTATAATGAATACCTGTGATGAAAAGAAGAAAGGTTTAGTCTGGCTCAGGTGCTGAGGTTCCAGTGTGTGACCACTGGGGCCTGTTTCTTTGGGTCTGTGGAGAGGCAGTGCATTGTGGTAGGAGTGCTCACTTCGTGATGGCTGGGGAGTGGAGACACAGGAAGAGACCAGAGCTGCAGTGTCCTCCTCAGGCAGCCCCAAAGACCTCACTGCCCTCACCAGGCCCCGCCTTCAAAGGCTCACTGCCTCCCCTTAGCAACAGTGGAGGTTGCATGGAGGGCCTCTGCTGGCACTTCCCCAGAGCATGTGTGCATTGGACTCTCTGGCAGGGAAATTCCGCCCCCTGGCTGTGTGTTCTCTGCCAGTGCCAGGCAGCGTGGCCCCAGCACACACTTAGGGGAGGGGGTGCAGACTGCAGACCCACAGGGGGTGGAGACTTGGGGGGCACGGTGCCCAGGGTGCAGGACCCCCTCTCTCACATCCACACTTGCAGGGGTCACAGATTTGATGACACAAGAGCTGAGTCAGACACTGGTGTGCACAGAACAACACAAACAGCTCCACACACCGGGCAACTCCATTCACGAAGCACCTGGGCCCTGGAGACAGTCGTGTCTGGATGTGAGCACCTCTGGAGCCCCGGAGCCCATGAGGCACGTGCTGCAGACGCACACCCTTCCACACACAGGCTCAAAGGCTCAGAAAAGGGACGTGGGACCTGCTCCTCATGTGGCACAGGAATGTAGTGTGTCGTGAGGTCATTTATTTATTTACTTTTTCACCTTTTAAGCCAGGTCTATAGGCATCCGAAGGGAAGGCTCCCACTCCTGGGCCTTGTGCTGGGGCAAAAGGAAGTCCCCCACCCCACCTTTTTTTGGTACCAAGAATTGAACTCATGACCTCGCACTTGCCAGGCTGGCATTGTGCTGCTGAACTCTATCTCCAACCCCATGGAAACCTTATATTTAATTTTTTTTCCTTTTCTTTTATTTATTTATTTTTTTCATTGAGGATTGAACTCACAGCCTTGCGCTTGCCAGGCAGGCACTTATGCCACTGAACTATCTCCCTAGCAAAATTTAAGTTTTTGATACAGGGCCTCACTATATAATTTAAGCTGGCCTTGAACTCACTATGTAGCCCAGACTGGCCTTGAACTCCTAGTGATCCTGTGGTCTCAGCTTCCTGAGTGCTGGGGTTGCAGGTGGGCACCAGCACGTCTGGCAGGAGGAAGCTTTTCTCAAAAGGAGGAAAAGAACAGAAATTAGCTCAGGAGAACAGTGGCATCAGTAAGTCCCAACTTTCGTCACTAGTGACCACGCTTCTACAGAGTGGCTCACCTGGTGTCCTGCCCCAGGCTGGGATAATGCTTTTCTTTTTAATTCCTTGTTTGGGAAGGGAGGGTACTGGGAACCGAACTCAGGACCTTGCACTTGCCAGGCAGATGCTGCGCCGCCGAGCCAAATCCTTGACCATAATTCCCTTTCTCTGTCTCTTCCTTGTTTTTCTTCCCTTTCTTTTTCCTTCTCCATAGTGTCTTCTTCCTTCCCTCTTTCTCTTCTCCCTCCCTCTTCCTCTTCTCTCCCCTTTTCTTTCCCTTTCTTTTTTTTTCTCAGCCCTGGGGTTGGAACCCAGTGCAAGTGTTGCACACCATGCCAGTCCCTAGCCCAAACTTTAGTTATTTTAAAGTGAACACAATAGTTAAAGGTCAATAATTCAGTTCTTCCTTTATTTTTTTTTGGTACCGGGTATTGAACTCAGGACCTTGTGCTTGCTAGGTAGGCGCTTATGCCACTGAGCTATCTTCCTGGCCTTTATTTTTTTTTATTTTATTTCTTTAAATTTTATTTATTTATGTGTGTGTGTGTGTGTGTGTGTGTGTGTGTGGCCAGCTCAGCCCACCAGGGGGCGGGGCTGGCTGGCATGTGGTGCTGGGGGATTGAACCATGGTCCCTGGGCTTTGCTAAACTTGTTCTAAGCAGGTGCTTTAGACCACTGAGCCATCTCACCAGCCCCTATTTTTTTTTATTTTATGGAAGGGTCTACAGGGTGTTCAGGGCCTTACTACTAGATTACACAAAAGCTGGGATTAAAGGCACATGCCACCACACCCAGTCTCAATTGCCATCTCAGCATGCCCCGGGGGCAGGCCTGGGGATCAAATCCCCAGCCCCTGTGCCTGCTTGCAGGTGCTTTAAAAGGCTGAGCTATTTTGGCCTGCCCTCCAGCCTCTTTTTTATAACCTTTTTTTTTTTTAAGATAAGGTCTCACTATGTAGTTCAGACTGCCTTGAGCTCATTTTGTAGCCCAGGCTGACCTTTCTTGAAGCGATGCTCTTGCCTCAGCCTCCTGAGTGCTGGATTACAGATGTGCCCCATCACACCCAGAACTACATCTTTTTATATTGTAAGCTTTTCATGAAATAGGAACAATATAAGAAATGCCTGTCTCTACTCTTCTGTTTCTAGTCAGTGTAGTCAACCTAAAGAAATCACCACACCCAGATGTGCACACATCAGGGGCTTTCAATCTCTGCTTACACAAGCTGTTTGCTCCTCCTGAGGCAGTGTGATGAGTTCAGTGTCTCTTCTAAACCAGGTGTGGTGGTGCAAGGTGGTAATCCTAGCATTTGGGAGGCTGAGGCAGGAAGAGCCTCATAATTTTGACAGTAAGGCCAGCCAATTAGCTCAACAGATTAAAGCACCTGCAAGCAGGTGCCAGGTTGGGGAGTTCAGTCCCTGGGCTTGCCATGCTGGCCCTGCCCCCAGGGTGCACTGAGACAGCAATTGAGACTGGGCATGGTGGTGTGCACCTGTAATCCCAGCTTTTTTTTTGGTTTAGTCTTTCTTTTTTTCTTTTCTCTTTTCTTGTGGAACCGGGGATTGAACTCAGGCCCTTGTGCTTGCGAGGGAGGCACTTATTCCACTGAGCCATCTCCCCAGCCCCCCAGCTTTTTTTTTGGGTGGAACTGGGGATTGAACTCAGGCCCTTGCGCTTGCCAGGCGAGCACTTATTCTATCCATCTGGGCCAGCCACTCTAATCCCAGATTTTGAGAGGCTGTAAACAGGTGGATCACTACAAGTCTGATCTAGTAGTGAAACCCTGAACACCCTGTAGACTGTTCCCTAAAAATACAGAAAAAAAATTTTTTTGACAGTAGCTTGGGCTATCTAGTGAGTGCAAGGCCAGCCTGAACTGCATAGCCAGACCCTGGCTCCAACAACGACAACAGCAACAACAACAACAACAACAACAACAACAAAGAGAAGTCAAGATGTAGAACAGCTGAAGAACACAAATTGTAGCCGTGCATAACGGGCAAATGTATCTAGCTGTACCCAACAATGGAAGCATACACTTTCTGCACAGATAAACTATTTACAAAGATTGACAGTGTGTTATACTAGCAAACAAGTTTCTATCAATTTCAAATCTGTATCATTTGAACCACATTGTCTGGCACCACATACTCCAGTTAGAACTTAGTAACAAAAAGAATATAAACAGGTATATATTTTGGAATTAAATGTATTGCTAAATAACTAGTTGAAGAAAGACTAGTAGCAATTGGGATATATATATATATATATATA